GAGAGGGCGATGGAGAGCAGCTGGTGTTGGCCGCTCCCTAATAAGGGGCTCATTTTCAAAGAAGGGAGTCTGGCTCCTTCGGCAGTTCCTACCGGGGCTGGTGGAAGCAAGAGCACTGAAGCCTCACTGAAATCTCTGCACTTTTGAAAGTTATCAGGCAAATTCTCAAATGCATCATAATTTTCAGCATTCCCTTTGACGCTGTAAAGACCAATGGGAAACAGGGATACACAAGCTCCTCTTCTCAGGCCAGTCACAGAGGGGGTGGCTAAAACATGTATGGTGTCTGCAGCAGAGAGAGAAATGGAACTTCACTGGAGGTCCAGGGACTGGGACTCTGAGATTCTAAAGCAGGGAGAATGGGTTCGACCCCTGGTCGGGGAACTAGGATTCCACATGACGTGTACGGCCAAAAAAAAAAAAAAAGGAAGAGAGAAATGGCCCACCATGGTGACTCTGAGTCCATGAGGTAGGGAAGTGGTAGCATCTGCCAGACAGAGCCATCTCCCCACCTTGGCAGAGATGCTAAGTCCCACCTAATGTCCATTCTGCCCTGTGTTTGGGTGGCAGACCCCCTCACATTTTAGCTTGACGCATGAACACACAGCAAGATATTTCACTCCCCAACCTCACTTGTAGCCAGGTGAGCCAGCGGGATATGAGCAGAGGTGGAACAGGTGCAATTCCTAAATTAGGCTCTTACAAGGCAGCTGGGCCTTTCCCTCCCTTGCCCTGCAGGGTGAGGGGGAAGCTGAGCCAGCTCTGACCAGGCAGACAGGGGTGACAGTGAATGGAGTGCCAGAGAGATGAGAAGAGAGAGCCTGGGTCCCTGGACCGCACTGTGGAGCGGAGATGTTCCACCCTCTGCCTGCCAGCTCGGACCCTTCCCTGAGAGAGAAATAAACCTTCCCTCTTGTTTGAAGCCACTTTATCTTGGTCTTTGTTAGAACCAACATCCTAACTACTGCACGTCTGTCTCTTGCGTGACAGAGCAATGATGCTCTGAGCCTTTTTTCCTGGTAGAATAGAAATGGTTGGTCTCTAAGGCTTTCTGCCAGATCTGCCTTTTGTCTCCCACCCTGTATTGTTTCAGGCTAGTCACTGGGGACCCCCTGCACTCATGTAGGGCTCCCCAGATATGTCAAAGCTCCTGAGACTATTTTAAGGTCTGCCACATTCCGAGGGCTTCTGTCACTACTGCAACATGACCTCATTCAGACTGGGTGTGCTACCTGGTCCTGACCCTCAGCAGAAGAAGGACTTTCACAGAGGACTCAGTCAGTCCCTGAGAACCAGCAATCCCAGCCTGCCTCCCTGCAAATGAGACAGATTTGGAAAGTAAATCATTATGTTACATCATGTTAAACCGAGAACAAGTCTTTCCTGATAGGGCTACTAAAATAAGGTATTTAAGAAGTAGACTAGTATCTAACCTTCAGTGAGTACTGCTCACTGTGTGTGGGCATTCTTGCAAGCACACTATATGTATTAACTCCTGTATGTTACAACCACCCCACAAAAGAAGTACTATTAGTACCCCCATTTGACAGATGAAGAGAAAAGATACCCAGGGAAGTTCAGTAACTTACGGAAGGCTGCACAGTTAGTAAGTGGTCGAACCAGGATTTGAACCCAGGGACTCAGATTTGATAATTGGTGCTCTTTTTTCTTTTGGCTGTACTGTGAGACTTGCAGGATCCTAGTTCCCTGACCAGGAATTGAACCCAGGCCCATGGCCCACAGCCCACGGTTCCAACTGCTGGACCACCAGGGAATTTCCAATAGATGCTCTTGACCACTGTGAAGCTGCCTAAACAGAGCCCTCCAATGTTCATACTCCCATTATGTCCAAAAGAACAGATTAAACTGAGTCACTGTCAAATTCAGAGAGAGAAATCCTTGAAGCAAGGCCCAAGATTGTAGTTCTCAAAGTGTGGGCTGTGGACCACTAGCCTCAGACTCACTGAGGAACTTAATAAAATAGTAAATGCTATGACCTCAGCCCAGATCTAGTGAGTCAGAAACTCTGGAGGCCCAGACATCTTTATCTTTACAAGTCTTCCAGGTGGTTCTGAGGCACACTCAAGTTTGAGAGCAGTTGGCCTAGGAAATAAACAAGAATTGAGAGAAGAATGGAAATTTTGGACTTCCCTGGTGGTCCAGTGGATCAGACACTTCCTGCCTATGCAGGGGACATGGGTTCAAGCCCTGGTCTGGGAAGATTCCACATGCAGAGGAGCGACTAAGCCCATGTGCCACAACCTCTGAGCCCACGTGCTGCAATTCCTGAAGCCTGTATGCTCTAGGGCCCGAAAGTCACAACTATTGCGTCCTTGTGCTACAACTACTGAAGGTCTTGCTTTGCTACAAGAGCAGTCACCGCAATGAGAAGCCTGTGCACCGTAACTAGAGAAAGTCCATGCACAGCGGTGAAGACCCAGCGCAGCCAAGAAGAAAAAAAAAGAATGGAAGTTTTATTCCTTCCTTGGACTTTGGGGGTGAGAAGGAGAGGTAGAAAGGAAAGTCTCATATTTAAAATAAGAGCTGTTTCCCAAGCCCTCTCTGATTTGGCGGTTGCTGATTTGACCTGTCTTGTGAAAACTTGCATGCTATGTTCTCAGCAAGTCCAAGACTCAGGGTATTCTCACTGGATGTGGCCTTGGCTCATTGCTTATAGTTAATCTTGCAGCTCACCACTTAATTTAGAGGAGGAAAAAAATCCTGACAATTAGTTGTAAGACCTATGAGGGGAAAACTGATCCTTAAATAGTTAAAAAAAATTCCTTGGCACTCCCTCCTTTTTTTCCCTTTAAAGATTTCAAATCCTTTTTGAACATTAGCATTTATCATTTGGGACAGGCAAATGCTTTCTTTAATTTTCTGTGGTGATATTTCACTGGGTTAAAGACTGTCTGGGTAACCTTTATAGAACTTAGCCGGGGACTGTCCCTCCCAGGAAATCTGTTTTGACTGACTTGGTCATTGCTTAGATTTGGCCATGTTCTGCGCTGCGTAAAACCTTCACTGCACTTGGCCAAGACCTTGGAGCCTCATCAGTGTTCACAATCTGGATATGCGATTTACGATATGGAAGATCTGAAGACCAGAACACATTTCCCTGGCTATTGTTACTCAGCGTTTAAAACGGAGGTGGCAGGAGACATAGGTCAGCAGAAACCTTGCTTAAAAGTTTGACTGAACACAGGGATCCAGCTACTGTAATATTTTATTGTCTGATATTCAGAAGCAATGAAAATTTTAAAAATTAGTATGAAAATTGTAATGAATATTAAAATTAATTTTGGGAGGGGAGTGTCATTTGAAAAAAAATAGCAAAAGATATAAACTAGAAAAAGATCAAGTTAGGGTGCAACCCCCAAATCCACGACTCGCACTTTTATCTCCAGTTAACTCTATGGTGTCTCTCACGCTATGGGGTCCAGACAGGATAGAAAGAATCGTGCTGTCATTTCACAGACTGGTAAAATGTGGCTGTGAGAGGGTACATGCTTATTCATCGAGATATCCAAGTTGAGATTCATTTTCATTAAAGGGCTATGGTACATGAATTACTTAATTTATCCCTCATGCAAACTTACCACGGCAGGGCAGTACTGGTTTTTTTTTTTTTCCCCCTGACGATTTTCCAGTCAAGCCATGCAGCATGTGGGATCTTAGATCCCCGACCAGAGATCAAACCCGCGCCCCCTGCAGTGGGAGCTGGGAGTCTTAACCACTGGACCTCCAGGGAAGTCCAAGCGCAGTCCTGTTTTCAGATGAAAACAGGATACTGAGGTGGGGAGGTTAGGGCAGAGGTAGTCCATCTCCAGAGCCCAGGCTCTCCACTCATCTGCTCAGATCTGCTGCTGACCGGCTCTCCAGAGAACCTTATGTGACTTACAGAAAGGTGTCCCGGTAGAAGGACCACGTAGGGGAAGGAGCCTCCCCTGGGTAGATGCACCCAGGGGTGGAGCGCCTGGGAACAGGGCACAGGCGGGATTTCAGTCCCCTCTGGCTCCCTCTAGGGATTCCCTGGTAGCTCAGACGGTAAAGCGGCTACCTGCAATGCGGGAGACCCGGGTTTGATCCCTGAGTTGGGAAGATCCCCTGGAGAAGGAAACGGCAACCCACTCCAGTACTCTTGCCTAGAAAATTCCATGGCTGGGGGAGCCTGGTGGGCTACAGTCCGTGGGGTCGCAGAGTCGGACACGACTGAGCGACTTCACTTTCACCTTCTGGCTCCCTCTGCTGGACGCTTTTATACAGCAATCCACAAAAGCAATTCTGTCTGGCGGACTCTGCTTCACTCCTTGAGAGTGCAAGTGTTTCTCACACATCTGTTTCCACTCCTGCAAGAAGCAATGAGGATAAAGACCACCTCTGTGGACCTGGGCCTAGCTAACTGAAGCATCCTGTAGTAAGCCCAGGTGCTCCCCACCAGGGAAGAGCTTCGAGTTCAGGGTATCAGAATATAAGCTATGCCCCAAAGCCTAGTTCTGGGCCCCATCTTTCCCAGAGTCATCATCGTTATCGCATGCAGCATCGTTCCTGGAGGAAGTCACATTCAAACAGCTCTGGTCACCCAGAGTTCTGGGTGTCAGGGGCTGGGTCTCCAAAGATGCTGGTCTCCCTTGGTCGTCCCACCAGACGGGGAGTCTCGGGTCCCTCACCTGCATACCCAAGTGCTGGGGAAAGCAGGAGAAGCAGAGACAGATGTGCATGTGGGGTCTTTTTGTAATGCCCCAAAGTCTCCACTGCCTTCCATCAGTCTGTAGCCGCTGGCAGGAAATAAGTCTCTCAAGTCCATGGACATAAAAGCATGTTATTATCAGTTGGCTTGTGATGCATTAAGAGTGCATCAGAGTCTATACCCTGATTTCCAACCCATGACCTGACAGGAAATGGAATGGTCTTTCCTCATTAACATCTCTGGACAATGCACAGTTCATCCCACAATTCTCGTAATCAGATATGATAAAACCCAGCCCAACTGTCTCTACCTTGAGCGTCTGGATGATTTTCTCTGAGGAGTTCTCCAGCCTCTTCATGATCATCCATCTCTTCTCCACTTGCCTGTTGGTTAATAACAACAAAAGATACGTAAGACACAATAAATGCAAGCACTCCTAGGGTCCATGCCCTTTGCTACAGGGGAATCCAGTTTTCTTAGTGGTCTCTTCTCCTCCTTTGTCAGTTTATTGTAACTTAAGTGTCCAAGAAGTCTGCTGCCAGGGTGAATGGCCCTGAAGAGCCAGGTGGGCTTAGCAGTGACCCTGACCACTGCCTTCATCTGCCAGTCTCTGGGGAAGGCTTGTCTACCTGTCCAAGCTGTGCTCCATGCCTGGCACACTTGGGGAGAAGAATGTCGCTGGCAAAGATCGACTGAAAGAAGGCAGTGACGTACCCACAGGGACTCGAGGGGGTTCCAGTGTGACACTGCAGAGATGGGGCAAAGTGGAAAGGTTGGGGAGAAGTCAGATCCTCAGTACCTTGGTCTTTACCTTGAAAACAGATGGAAGGACTGAGGGATTGAAGTGGGGGAGCAAAAGGGTCAGGCTTGCAGGGTTTCCAGGAGAACCATGGACTGGATTTCTTATCACATGAAACCCTTTCTTCTTTCTCTGAGTGATACAAGCTGCTTGCAATCCCACCACCCAGAAATCTCTATAATGATGGTGCTCCACACTGGCTGGATCTTAGAATTATGTGCGGAACTTAAAAAAAATATTCCTAGACAGTTGTTGTTCAGTCTCCAAGTCGTGTCTGACTCTGCAACCCCATGGACTGCAATACGCCAGGCTTCCCTGTCCCTCACCATCTCCCGGAGTTCGCCCAAGTTCATGTCTATTGAGTCAGTGATGCCATCCAACCATCTCATCCTCTGTCGTCCCCTTCTCCTCCTGCCTTTAATCTGTCCCAGCATCAGGGTCTTTTCCAATGAGTTGGCTCTTCCCAGCAGGTGGCCAAAGTATTGGAGTTTCAGCTTCATCATGAGTCCTTCCAATGAATGTTCAGGGCTCATTTCCTTTAGGATTGAAGATTCCTAGACCCTAACCTCAAACGTTAAAATCAGACTTTCTGGAGCTGGGACATCTTTAAGGCTTCTTGGGTGATTCCAATATGCAGCCAGGATTGAGAACCATTCTCTAGAGGGCAGGAAGAGCAGTTCTTGAGTTGCCAAGGAAATGTGGCAGATAGAGTCAGCGACTCAAATAAAGCCCCCAGTGTTCTGTAAGGCCAGCTCTCGGCCTCTGTCACCCGAATCCGCTTACTACACAGCTTCACTTCAGCCATGGGGAAGGAATCTGAAGGCCCTAGAAGCCTCCCCTTGGGACTCAAGTTCCTCACCCTTTAGCTGACAGTCAGATTCCCACTTTATCCTCAAATACCCAAGCTGCCTTGAGAAGAGATGATTATCTGGAATTTGTTTTGACATCCTCTGCTTGCTTGGTGGCTTTTTACCCTGTGTTTGTGGCTGCTAAGATATTCTGACTAAGAAAACCTACAGCAGGTAAGTAACTTTCCTTCTTTTGCATGTGTCCTTTTGGAGACAAAGCAGATTTGGCCTGATGCAGTTAAAAAAGAAAAAAATGCATCCCTGAATAAATGGAAAGGTTTTTTTTTTTTAAAAAAAACGATTACAGGAACCTGCCTCAGTCTTGTAAACTGATAAGTTAGAAGACTAGAAAAGAGATAAATTTTAAAAAATCCTGTTTATAAATCCTTTTAGTCTAACAGGAAATTGGATTAAAAGGGAAAAACAGGCTTCCTCTTTTGGAAGAATTTCAAAGCCCAGAAGAGTAAACCTTCAGTCTTAACAGCAAGCAGCTATGAGCTTTCAGGGGCAAGAAATACTCTTCTCCTTTCACATATGGAGAGGTGGAGACAGAATTGGGGATTTGGAAAGAATTTTCTGATGAGTCCCTGTTAGAAAAATAAATAGTTTTAATTTGAAATTCTGGGGGATTCCCTGGTGGTCCAGCGGTTGGGACTTCCTGTTTCTACTCTCAAGAGTGTGGGCTCAATCCTTGCTCTGGGAAGTAAGACCCCTCAAGTCATGTGGTGTGGCCTTAAGAAAAAGATTCTGCCTGTTGCTTAGAAAGGTGTCAAAAACCTATCATTTTTTATATATATGTACACACATGTGAAAAGACACATCTGAGGTCATTCATTGCAGCATATTGGAAACAACTTACATATCTCATTAATTGGGGATATATTAAGTAAATCATGGTCATTGACACAATGGAATACAATGCAACTAATAAAAAGCATCTCTTAATGAATTTAAGTAGAACTCCAAGATATATTAAGTAAAAAAATAAAGTAAGACTGTAAGCAATGTGTATAATACATAATCTGCTAAGTCACTTCAGTAGTGACCGACTCTTTGTGATCCTATGGATCAGGCTCCTCTGTCCATGGGATTCTCCTGACAAGAATACTGGAGTGGGTTGCCATTTCCTCTTCCAGTATAATATGTGAAAACATATAAAATATGTCTCTACCCCAGGAAGGGTACACAGAAAACTAGCCAATAGTGGTGTCCGATGTGGAGGGAGCCCAGCTGGGAGACATACCCTTTTATAATTAAATATTTTAAACCTCCTGAATATATTTTGAATTCAAGATTTGAACTGAAAAAACTAAAACCAAATAAAATGCTGTCGCTTTTAATGAGTTAACAAAGACAATGATCGAAACACAGGCAATAATGCTGGGTAAGTGAGCCAGAAAAACCAAAGGACAGAAAATTCAGATCCCAGCTCAGTTGTTCTGGCCAAGTCGTTCGCTCTTCATCTGTTCATCCAGCTTACGACTATATATTGAGTGTCTGCTGTGTGCAAGGGTCTGTGCTGGGCACTGGGGGCACAGAGCTGAAAAATCTGTGAGAAGCTCAGTGACTTGTTTCTCAGTACAGAAACAAGAAATCTCACCGTTGCCAGGCAGTGTGATAAATGTAGTGATATGACAGGTTTCTGCAGGACCTCAGGGGAGGTGAAGCTAAATTAGGCTGGGGAGGTTTGTTTACCAGTGGACGTGGTGCTAAGTCCTGCGGGGAAGGGGAGGCGGGCAGTTCCTGCAGAGCAAGGGGGCTGTGCTGGCGCCAGCCGGGACTGTCGGCGTGGTTTCAGGGCCCAGACAGTGGGGACCAGACTCTGGCCAGCCAGATCTTACATATTGCAGTCCAGAGTTTTTAAAAAAAATTTTTCGTTTGCTCTATTTTTCTATTTATAAAAGAAATACATTTTTTGATGCCAGGATTTAACCGGAAGGCCAATGGGGACGTGGTAGGAAATTTCAAGCAAACCAGTGGCATGACTGAGCTGTATTTAGAAAGAGAGCTGGCAACAGCGTGGTATTCTAGGGCTGGGGAGGGGTGCGGGTGAGTGGGGATGGCAACAAACACTTGGTAAACACAAACTGCAGCGCTAAAACCAGACAAGAAAGACAGTTGCCCGAGGGGTTGGGGTGCAGGCCCTGGACTCAGGGCCTTGTGCACTGAAGCTCGGATCCTACATCTCAGGCCTGACAGACCACGTGAGGTGCTTACTTTCTGAGCCTCAGTTTCTGCAACAGACAGGGGCTGGGCCAGGTGTCCTGAAGGTCCCAGCTGTTCTTGGAGAACCTTCCACTGGCCCCGCCCTCTCCCCTCACACCCAGCCCCCTATCTGAGCATGGGACTTCTAGGCCCATGGCAGGCTTCGGGAGAGAACTGCAGGGTGGATGGGGGAGCAGGAGCCAGAGGTGGGGCTCCAGTTGGCTTCGTGCTGTATGACTGATCACAGCCTCTCCATCTGTGAAATGGGAGTAATGATACATTTTGTAGAGAGTTCTTGAGAAGTTAAATTAGGAAAATATATTTGGAAATTCTTTGTAACATATCATTTAACACATGCATCTACATGACCAATTTCAATGCCTCATTGATGCTGGAAGGAAATCAAGGTCTCATTTGTGAGTTTCAACTGCAAGGTCATACAACTTTTCTCATGTATTAAAAAGATCTCACATTCATTCTTCAATAAAGCAAATGGATTTATGAAAATCATAAGATATCTTGCATTATTAAGATGAAAGTATTAAATCTCTGTTCCTCTTCCAGGTACTGAAAGCCTGAACAAAGATATACAATTAAATTCTTCTCAGGAACAGCACAGATAAACCTCATCAATAACAGGAATTGTGGGTTTGGTGGCTTTGAAAACTAGCTCCCTCTCCCACCAGTTACATCACCCTTTGGTTTGCTCATCTCACCAGTCCTCAGTTTCCTCATCTGCACAGTGGTGAACTATACACTTCCCAGGAAGGGGGTGGGGGAAATTAAATAAGGTTTAATATGTGGGAGGCCTGCTCTTAGCAGGGATCAGTGAATATTTCTTTCTTTTTCCTTTGTGAATCAAAACCTTTATAGATGTGAACACTCTTTGAAAATTATTATTTCATCTAATTCTCACCTCACCATTGAGAGGTAGGTAGGGAGGTTCCAGTATTATTATTTCCATCTTACTGAAGAGGCAGCTGAAGAGGAGTCTCACAAGCGTGACAAGGTTGCTCAGAGTCCGAGAACACCCAGGGCTTCCCAACTCCTGGCCAGATGCTTTAATATTGATAAGAGTCCACTTAATTCGGGCTCCTTTTTTTGGGGAACTGTCACAGACTCAGTGCCCTGAATATTCTTGCTGGCAAAATTATTTTCAAGTGTCCTGGGGTCACCGTGTCTGGAAAGCAGCTCAGGATTCACCTGCAATTTGCCTGCTGGTGGTCAGCAAAGCCGGTTTCAGTGACTCTGGGCACCGGAATTTCCCTCCTCAGGGGCTCACTCCACCTCTGGACAACGTCTCGAGCCCAGCATTGTTTTGCTGTTACTTCTGCTCACTGAAGTCCACGTTGTCTCTTCCCCACATGACCACAGGGTTCAGGGTAGTGACAGCCAGACTCTTCTTGGTGGGATGTACCCACACCGGCCTGTGTAAGTAACACCCAAGTAACACCTGACTCCCAACTGGGGACAGGGGACAACTCAGGGTACCCCATTTCAGGCAGGTCCCCCTGTCGGGATTCAAGGGCGCCAAGCGATGACTGCCTGTATGATGGCTCTGAGGCGGAGGCTTATTTCTCATTCTTCATATCTTCTGGGCATGACATACATACCCTTTGATGTCAGTGTCGAGTATAAGCATATTCAATCCTGTATCTAGCATTAATGGGTATTATTGCTATTTTCTTCCCACTGCCATGACCTAACCCTGATAATTTATTAAAATTCCCAGGAAAAAAATCTCTATCTTAATTTATTCATCAATGACCCTTTCTTTTACAAAAATAGACTTAAAAAGAAAAAACATGGGCCAATTTTTATGTGAACCCAGATATACTCTGGATTGATCATGTTTCCCCAAATCTAAGCCTGATACAGATTATCCTATAAAATGGGCTGGCAGCATTGCCTTCAGTGTTATAAAGACGTTCTTGAATCTGAGGAGGATTCCATGTGTAATAAATGAAGGAGTCTCTCCTGTAGCAACCTGGGCCGACCTCTGCACAAAACTGCGCTGATACTATCCACTTCTTTGTTTATCTTCTTCTTAGACTGTAGACTCCTTGGAAGGCTGGGGATGGCGATGATTCATTTCCGTACTCCAGTGCCTAACAGTGTCTAATACACAGTGGATGCTCAATGTATCTTGTCTGAAGGGAAATGAGAGCTCATGGGGAGAGAAAGCTTTATGCTGACTCCACAGAATGCAGGTGAAACCGAGGGGAATGGCAGAGTCCCGCAGAATCAGAAAATCTTCCTGCAAAAGACTGGATGAGTGCTTAGGGATGGAATTTTCTAGAAGGCTCTGTGTGGGATGCTTATCTAATTTGGTAGGCGCTGATTTTGATTGGATAGGACTCAGCTGAGGTCTGCAAGGAAGTTTTATAGCAAAGTGGTCAAAACATGGGTCCCAGCATTTCCCTGGTGGTCCAGTAGTGAAGACCACACTTGCACTGCAGGGGGCACTAGATTCTTCGTGACATGTGGTGTGCCCAAGAAAAAAACAAACAAAACATGGACTTCGGAGCAGGGCTGCCTGACCAACTGTATGACATCTGAGAAGTCACTTTACCTCTCAAGACCTTACTTTTCTCATCTGTAAAATGGGATAATGCTACCTAGTTCTTAGATTCGCTTTGAGTTAAATGAGTTCTTGCCTGTAAAACTTCTAACAGAGCCTAGCACAGAACAATTGTTCATTCATGTTAGCAATTCTGCTTATTTATATCCCTTTCCATTTCCCTTTTCTGCTCCAATATTTTTATTTCTTACCCTCATTCCCCTGAAATGTGCACTGTTTCCTACACGCACCAGCCAAAAATGAATGAAATGCCCTGTGACTGGGCAGGAAGTGCAGAAATGAAAAGTATAGACTGAGTTGAACAGCCTGTGTGCCTTTCTTGATTTGAGCTCTCCATCCTTTGATGTACAATCCTGAGATTTGAGTCTTTCTACAAGGCAGCCCCTAAGAGTCTGGCAGCTGCCACATCAGCCAGCAGAAGGTCTATCTAGGGAGAGCTGTTAACACTGAACATTTGCAAGAAAAGATATAGTATTAGGGGCAAGGACTGGTCTGGGAGTCAGAAAGTCTGGAGTGTGCCCATCAGTCTCATGCAGAAGCAGACTGAGTTATAATTTCTGTGAGTCTTGAAAAGGATGGACTAGAAAGTGGGCCTTGGGGATGACAGTGCCTTTCCTTCTATAAAATGGTGCCAAAATTGCTGAATGAAAAAGTGTAACAGGAAAGCACTGTGGACACTAAATACACAGAAAAAAATGGTAAAATCCCTCACTTGCATCTTCTAGAGGCTCCGTAAATATGTTCTTGTCTTATTTACATAGCAGTTATTAATTTACTGTATACGTTGCCTGGACAAGGATTTATCTGCTTTGTTTGTTGATGTATCTCAAAGGCCCAGAAAGTGCCAGACACACAGTAGGTAGTGGATGCTCATTATGAGTTGAATGAATGAATAGTGCTAATGGCGATATCTCATCCCAGGAAGCATCAACCATAATTCTTCAAGCCCAAAGGGAAGAACTAAAGTGCTGCTAAGGAAAAGAAAAGCATAGTTTCATTAATATAAGTGTTTGGGGATGAATTGTGTTTCTTTGAAATTTGCATGTTGAAGTCCACCCTCAGTACTCTAGAATGTGACTGTGTTTGGAGATAGGATATTTAAAGAGGTAAAATGAAGTTGTTTGGATGGGCCATAAGCCAATACGATTGGTGTCTTTAAAGAAGAGGAGATTAGGACACTGACATGTATAGAGGAAAGATCACGTAAAGACATATAGAGAAGATGGCTATCTACCTACGAGCAATGAGAAGACCTCAGAATAAATCAACTCTGCTGACACCTTGAGCTTGGACTTTTGGCCTCCAGAATTGTGAGAAAATAAATTTCTGTTGTTTACACCACCCAGACTGTGGTACATTGTTTTGGTGGCATACAATGAGTAATGAATCAAAGTAACTGTTTTGAATACTTCTAGGAAAATCTCTAGTTTTGCTTCCCAGAACCATTCTCTTCTTCTACTTTTAAGTTTTCCTTTTGGAAACACTCCTCTCCTCCCCACTCTGAGTTCCTGTGGCTCTGGGCTGGGGAAATCAGTGTCTTCCGTTCCTCTGGCCGTGGTGGTTCATTGTACATGGCCACGTGACTCAAGCTGGGCCAGTGGTTTAGAAAACAGAAGCTTGTGGCTGTCCTGAAACCATGGGGAAAGAGTCTATCTAAGAGGAAACAGGAAAGAAGAGCCCAGCCATGCAGAGACACATATCTGGGGCAAATGCGTGACTCTGAATCAAAGCCCCACCTGGCAGAGCTGGGACTGGGACCACTCAGAGCAGCTGGAACCTAAGAACTCTGGACCAGTGAGGTTGGGAGGGTGACCCACATGAACTTGGAAGTCCCCACCAGTCTAAGCACTGGAAAGTGCTCCCATCATGAGCCCCATGAGGGTTTGACGTCGTCACCTTTGTTTCTATCCTTCTTAGTCTCCACTTCTTATCAAGGACCTGGGATCTTGTTTTTGAGGGCAGCATGAAGGATCTGAGATCCTTCCATGCCAAGACTTGCTTTGTTCCTGATCAGTTTCTTTCACTCCAAGGTCATTTGTTTCTTGTTCATTCACCTCTGAGGGGGGCAAATAATGGGGAGAAAGAGGCTCTTAAGCCAGAGGATTTTGGGATGAAAAGGGAACCCATTTATGGACCATTTAGGAAGCATCTTCCACGAGCCAGTTGCTTCCATGCCCAGATGCCAGGGCAGGGGGGCGTATTGCAGAGATGGACAAGTGCCATCCCCACCACAGGAACTCTCAGTACCCTTAGCTGAATTGAAGCTGAGCTTGGGAAAGTAACGAACTCCGAGAGAGTGGAAAACAGGGTCAGACATCCAGGAGAGGATTGGCAGTTGCCTTCTAAATAGTTAACTCAAGAGTTAGCCTTCTCTGTGGTAGGATTATCAGCTCTACCCACTTAGAGGGGTAAAGCAGTAACAATTACTTTAATGACTGTCAAGATAAAATGAGTTATATTTACCTGTTTTATGAGTGGTTCAAGGTTATCCTTTCTCCTCTCTTCCCTGTCCTCCACCAACCAAACCAGACACCCAGCTGATCTGTCCCCGATGGCTGCCTGTGATTACTGTCCTAATTTGTTCTATCTTCCTCTGCTACAAACTGCCTATTTTCTGTCCCTTATGATAAAGCAGGAACTCTGAGGGACTTCTGAAGCTGTTTTTTGTACCATGCAGAAGCGTATTAACTGGAATTCCTGTGTATGCGTCTATAAAACCCCTCGTCTTCTCAGTGTGAGATCACCTTCAGGAACGGCATCATGTCGAGGTGCAGCTTGCGCGTGTAAAATTCTTTTCTGTTTGAACATATCAGCCCTTTATTTATACAACTTTGAGGCTCCCCTGTCTTCTGAGCTGCTGCCTCCAAGGACTGCTGGGCTCCCTGTGAAGAGAAGCAGAAAGCCCAGTGTTCATAGGAATGATATACAGTACGACAAGAACTAGTCTGAATCCCCAAATATTTATAGAAAGCAATTCTTCATCGTTGGAACACTAACAGTAACACCTATTTTTACCAGGGAAGACACAGGGGAGGCATATGTGTGGGGGATACCTTGAGACTGGTTATGAATTCACACCTGGGGTCGGCATGATGGGGAAGTGGGAAAAGGCACTTTACTGTATCGCTGGGTAGCAGTCACTTTATATAATCCTCCCAACGGCTCTGTGAGGCAGGTATTGCTATCCCCATTTTGCAGATGAGGAACTAGAGGCTCTTGGAGGTTAAGTAACTTGCCCAAAGTCACACAGCAGGTAAATGCAGAGCTGAAATCATGGACTGCCCCGAACTTTTTTTTTTCTGAACTCCTTTTTTTGATGAGATCTTTTTGCTACTTCTACAGTCCATGAACAGTTATGAAATCTGCCTTGCAGCTAACACAGTTATATCAAGACTCCAGTTTATCTCCAAATTTAAAATATATTTGATGCGTTAGAAAGAGTGATTTGAACAAATCTAGCAGCGAGGGAAGGACGAATAGGCTGATGGAGGCGTCCAGGGGGCTTTTCTGATCTCCTGTGGCCACACATGCAAATGTTGTCACCCCAGAGAGCATGACAAGGTATATCCTGAACTTGCTTGCCAGCCCATGCTTTGTACTGCAACCTAGGTGCTTTTTCTGGATGCAAACTGGACCACATCAGTCTTCTGCTTAAGACCTTCACAGGCCCTTCCCTTCAGGATGAAGGCCAACCCGCTTAAAAGGTTTACATGCCTCTTCTTGCCTGGCCCTGGACTATCTTTCCTGTCTCATTCAGTCATTCAGCAAATACTTATTGTGTGCTTGTTCTATGCCCAGGAGAGCAAGAAGCAGACAGAAGCTTCACTCTCAGGAAAACTGCACATGCATTCCACTGAGAGGGATGAAATAACAAGCAAATAGGTGGAACATCAGTTACATCTGAAGGTTACTTGTGATATGGAGAAAAATAAAGCAGAGAGGGGAGTGAGGAGCAGTTGGGGAAGGTGATGGAGGGTGCAATTTTAAGTAGTCAAGGACTGCCCCCTGCCCCAACCCCCACAACCCCTACAAGAAAGCAGTGTTTGAGCAAAACTCTGAAGGAGGTGAGGGGAGTTTTGGTGGGGCTCTCTATGGGAAGCATTGACCTCCCCATGGGAAGAGCAAGTTCGCAGGCCTGCCATCAGCTCTGACCTTTCAGTTCTGGGAGCAAGGCTGCCCTCGTGCACCCCCTCTCTGGGACCACACCCCTCCCTTTTAACTCCTCCCTGTCCTTTGGGTCTGGCTCATCTATGCCTCCTGTGACATCTTGAAGAATACAGCTCTCCCCACCACTGCCCAGAGAGATGCTCATGCATGTGCAGCCACCTTTTCCTCCCCACCAGACTGGAAGCTCCACGAGGGCAGGAAACCATGGCTGTCCTGTTCCGAGGTAGCTGCCGTGCCCCGCACAGGGTCAGGAAATGAATATACACTTGCTCCATACTGGCCAAACCAAACAAATATCGTATATTAGCACATATATGTGGAATCTAGAAAAATAGTACAGAAGAACATTTTTGCAAAGCAGAAATAGAGACACAGACATAGAGAACAATCGTATAGACACCAAGGGAGGAGGGGGGTGGTGGTGAGATAAATTGGGATATTAAGATATACACACACACACACACACACACACACACACACACACACTATATTTAAAATACACACAGAGGGCTTCCCTTGTGGCTCAGATGGTAAAGAATCCGCCTGCAATGTGGGAGACCTGGGTTTGATCCCTGGGTTGGGAAGATCCCCTGGAGAAGGGAAAGGTTACCCACTCCAGTATTCTGGTCTGGAGAATTCCATGGACTGTGTACGTGGGGTCGCAAAGTGTCGGACAGGACTGAGCGACTTTCACTTCACTTCATGGATAAAATAGGTAACTAATGAGAACCTACCACAGGGGGAGAAAAAGAAGGTACAATCTGTAGGACATAAATTAACCTTAAAATGGATTCCAATATACATCAGGTGCAAACAAATACGGTTTGATTCTACTCATATGAGGTACCTAGAATAGACAAATTCATTGAGTCAGAAAGTACATTGGTAGATGCCAGGGGCTCTACCAGGCGTAGGGGCGTTGGGTGGAGGATAGGGAGTTAGGGTTTAATGGGTCAGAGTTTCAGTTTAGGAGAGGTGAAAATTTTGGGAGATGGATGATGGTGAGACCTCCACAACAATGTGAAAGTTCTTAGTGCCACTGAACTGTACAGTTAAATACAGTTAAAATAAGTATATTTTATATTATGTGACTTTTACCACCATAAAAAAGCATGAAAAAAAAAAAGTAATGATAACATTGTGCGCAAGCTACATGTTATGGCCCAACTTGGTTGGGGAGGGCAAGAGAGACATCCAGGAAGCACATGCTGACCTCGAGGACTGTCCACTGGCTTCTTCATTCCCAGAGGAAAGTGACGTGTTATTTTTCAGGGCTGATTTCCTGGGGTCACATACATTAGTGTGCCATGAGATCACCCTGGGTGTGGATTTGATCATCTCCATATTTTCTAGGAGACTAACTCTCGAATGACTGTCTCTCTGGGCATAGCTCTCCCTCTCATCACATTTGTATTACTTTTAAGTGTTAATGATAAATTAACAGTCAGCGAATCCCCATAGGCAGCCATCATTCCGATGAACATCCACACACTTTTCCTTTGTTTTGAAATGAGATTAGAGATAAAGATTTTTCTGGACAAATACATACCCATTTTTTTTTTTTTTGTCATCTCAGTTATATATCTGATTAGCTTCTCCAAGTGAGACTTCCCCTCCCTGTTTCTAGATCAAATGAAAGCATTTGGTCCAAATGAGAATCAAACAAAGCATTTGAAGCTTTCTAAGACCCTGATGCTGGGAGGGATTGGGGGCAGGAGGAGAAGGGGACAACAGAGGATGAGATGGCTGGATGGCATCACCGACTCGATGGACATGAATTTGAGTAAACTCCGGGAGTTGGTGATGGACAGGGAGGCCTGGTGTGCTGTGATTCATGGAGTCGCAAAGAGTCGGATACGACTGAGCAACTGAAGTGAACTGAACTGAACTTCCAAAACCATGCATGAGTCACTGGGTGGAATAATAGAAATCAGACAATACTGGTTTTGAGGGAAGTTTCTCCATGATCTTCAAGAGAAGATTTTGTGTTAGGTTGGAGGACAAAAGACACAGCCAAGACTCGATCCAATGGCTGGAATTATTTTAACTCCTTATGTGGTGCTCAGATTAAAGAGCAGGGAGCTGAGAGACTTTGAGATGCCTCTCCAGATCACTTAGCCTATAAATCATTTGATAAAATGATTTTCTTGACTGTATGGCTCATCTCCCTAAGGTTCAGGGGCCATCAATTCTAGCTTGATGGAATGTTTCCAGTTAGACTCTACAGTCGCTGGAATGTGCAGTACGGTTTTTTAAAATTTATTTATTTTTTGGCTGCACTGGGCCTTAGCTGCCTCACACAGGCTGTCTCTGGTTTCGGAGAGCGGGGGCTCCTCTCTGGTTGGGATGTAGGGGCTTCTCCTGTTGTGGAGCCCTGGCCCTAGGTGCGTGGGCTTCAGGATTTGTGGCGCACGGGCTTAGCTGCTTCACAACACGTGGAATCTTCCTGGACCAGAGATCAAACCTGTGTTCCTTACATTGGAAAGCAGATTCTTATTCACTGTGCCACGAGGGAAGTCCACGCAGTACTGTTCTTGCTGATTACGTTCAAGTATTCTAACAAACACATGGTAGGGAAAGGGGGTTTGGGAGATGAGAGGAAAGAAGATTAAATACATAAATAGGATTCTGGAAAGTAGTGGTAAGAGGAAAAGGAAAGAAAGCTATGCATTGGGGTGGGTTTTCATTTCATTTTATTCATTTGCTGTTTTTCAGTTGCTAAATCACGTCTGACTCTTTGTGACCCCATGGACTGCAGTACAACAGGCTTTGCTTCCCTGTCCTTCGCCATCTCCCGGAGCTTGCTCAAACTCATGTTGACTGAGTCAGTGATTCCATCCAACCATTTCATCCTCTGTCGCCACATTCTCCTCCTGCCCTCAATCTTTCCCAGCATCAGGGTCTTTTCCAATGGGTTGGCTCTTTGCATCAGATGGCCAAAGTATTGGAGATTCAGCTTCAGCATCAGTCCTTCCAATAAATATTCAGGGTTGATTTCCTTTAGGATTGATTGGTTTGATCTCCTTGCTGCCCAAGGGACTCTCGAGAGTCTTCTCTAGTACCACAGTTTGAAAGCTTTATTAACTGTTATTTATTGAGTGATACTGTGTGTGCCAGAAAAACACATAAACAAGCAGAGTGATTTTAGATGGTGATAAATCTATGAAGACAATGAAATGGTGATAGGCTGGAGGTTGGTGGGGGAGGAGTGGGGTTTTCCTTTGGGTGATCAGGGATGACCTCTCTGGGGAAGTGACATTTGAGCAGAGAACTGGGTGACAGGAAGAAGCCAGTCCTGGAAGGATCTATCTTTGGCAGTCAGCATAGCCTGTATCCGATTATTCAGAAGGGTTCTTTGGAAAGGAGAGTTCCTGATATCCAGGCCTGTTCGGCCCCAGCCTTCTGACTCCATCCAGACCCTGTGAGGCACCCCTCTGGTTTCTGGGTGGTAGAGTCACACGCTAGGCTCTTAAGACGGCAGAATAAATAGTCAGAGGGAGTCAAGGTCTCAGGGAGCAGAGGGGAGGGGAAAACACAGATTGGGGGAAGGAAAACAGGGCAAGCAGAAGGAAGCAGAGATGCCTGAAGCTTTTTTTTTTTTAATGTGTCTGCTTCAGTGAGAATGATTACAAAACTGAGGCAAGGGTGAAATGTTTAACAGAAAATCAAAACCCATTCCTTCACCTGTATTGTACTGTAAATACTTTAATATTAT